TAATATACAGAGTGATTTTAAAAGTCTCTCCCTATTTTATGCATAATGGTCTCACTCTTCAAACTTTATTTTTTACAAGAAGAGAGTGTCGATCATACATACAATAGAGAGAGACTTTTCAGTCATAATATATATATATATATATATATATATATATATATATATATATATATATATATATAAAAATGTTTAATTGAAAATGACAGAGAAAGAATATTTTGTAATTTTGATATTCAGTTCTTTTTTTGTCCTTAAACCTTTCTGTTATAAGAAGTGTGCCAATATTTTTTAGAGTATTTTTTCGTCTCGCGCCCTTTCGCCAATACCACACACTTACTCTCAGATCGAAGGGCGCAAGAAAAACTGAGTAAAAATCATACAAATAATTCTTGTCTACACATTCAATGAAATATGTATAAAAACGGATAGTCATTTAAATATACAATATCTATAACATCTATACAACACACACACGCACACACACACACTTATATATATATATATATATATATATATATATATATATATAAAAAGGTACAGAAAAATGAAAACAAATGGAATATAATTCACCATACGTAAGATTTAATTTAAAAGAGGACTCAATACAGAGTAGAGCTAATCTTTCACTCGACTGTTGTTTAATATCGCTCGAGGAGACACATTTGTAGCGTTGAAACATAATCGCCATTATGTAGTGATTTTTAATGTTTTAATACCTTAAAATGAACAATATATATATATATATATATATATATATATATATATATATATATATATATATATTATATATAATTGTATATTTAGGCAGCAATCATTCCTTTATGCATGTTTCAAAAAACGACAGACAAGGTAAAGCATTTTATTCAATTTTTCTTGTGTTCTGACAAGAGCTTTCTTTTTCTGGACAAAGGGCGTGTAAAAACTGTCCCAAATGAACAGAACACAAGAAACACAAGAAAAAACTGAATAAAAAGCACTTGTCTGTCGTTTTAATGAAGCATGCATGCATATATATATATATATATATATATATATATATATATATATATATATATATATATATATGAGTGTGTTTGTGTGCGTGTGTGTATGTTTCTGTGCTTAAATAAAATTGTTACATATCAGTAGAATATATCTCAATTTTAATTTTATTTTGAAGATAAGACTTATAAATAAAGTAGTTTCTCCGAAGCATACTATATATTTAGATCATCCTGTTTTCTAAATTCTCATTTTGTACGGCAATATTTGAAGTCTTGAGTTGTAGACACCTTTTAATATTATGTGTCGATTATACTCGATAATGTATGCTCGGTTTCAAAGCGATTTCAATTTTATCCACAGCAATTTTACCCTATATGTTTACTACTGCGAATATCTGTATTCTCCTAGCAGTGGATGGGAATGAAGACCGAATTTTCAGAGGTTACTCGGATAAGAAATTCGAAGTAACCCCAACGAAAAAAGGAAATAAGAAAAGACTGAATATCCTAAATTGACGCCAAATTTACTTTTATTGTACTGAATGTCGTACACTGGCATTGCTTTGACCACTACCAGAAAATGGTTTCCTTGGTTCGGTTATCAGTTTCTAAAGAATCATGATGAAAAACACATGTACTTGCATCAATAAATCCGTAGCTTAATGATAAAGAAGAATTTCTTTTATACAAGAAATAATTTTATTTCAGTAATATCCATTCTTGTCAATACAATTAATTACATAAATATTATTAGTCACAGTAAACAGAGAAAATGTGATAGAAAAAATTAGCTAATAAATATCTCACACTACAAACTTATTTACCCACACTCGAATATGGAAAACTTATTCAACTGAAAGTTTCTAAACGGCCGAGTATCATAAATGGCAAAATAATAATAATAATAATAATAATAATAATAATCGGTTAATAATAAAAAAACAAGTCGACATAAAAATCAGTAAATGCGTTTAAATGAGTGAAATATTTCAACTAAAATAATTATCCTTGTTGTTATCATCAGTATTTTTCCTTTAAGTTATCTGACCCTCCCCGATTCTTTGCAACATCGAATAATTACTTAGAAAAAAAGAGACGCAAAAATCAAAATCCATAATCTTGTTTGCAGCAGCTGATCAAAATGGCTCCAAATCAATTAGCATATGTTCAGTATTTTTCCTCATATTTCTAAAACTTTTAGCATGTCGTAAAAAATTTCGAATGCCGTTGTGTCAGAACAATTTATGCAAACCAGTTCAATAAGTAAACAAAATCAAGTCAGCTGTGACTGAGCTATAGGGTACAGTTCAAAGCCAGCAACGAAAATTAATTTAAAAATAAAACTTAGGGAAGACCAGTGCGTACACAGACAAACATGTAGATGAGGATATTAGTCCAAATCGTCTATGAAATGAAATTAATCTTTGATGTGAAAATTAGACAACCTAAAACGCGTTTTATTCAAGACTGACATCAGGGAAATTATATTTTTCTTTCCAATCAAATATTGAGTGACTGAGCTGTTAAAAAATAAATTTGTAGATGCACAATTAACGAGAAGCAAACTTGAGTCGAGATCGAACCCACCAATCGTGAATTTAGTATTATTCGAGACTTTAAGGTCATCTTATACAAGACTATTGCAACAAATAAGCTGTGCAGTATAAATTTACATACGGCATCAGCAATGAATGCACTCCATACATATATACATATATATGTATGGGCCGCGTATAGTGCATATATATGTATATATATATATATATATATATATATATATATATATATATATATATATATATATATATATATATGTGTGTGTGTATGTGTGTGTGTGTGTGTGATCAATTGATTTTATTCGACAATATATCCTGCTGATGCAAACGAACGTCATTTTTCGGAATCACGTGTTTGAGTAGAAGCCCTGTTTTCATTTTTTTTTTTTTTTTAACAGTGTGAATTGCGTCTACTTGGCCGCAGATTTGAGAGACCTAAAAAAAAGAAAATGCGCTACGTGGCAAAGTGGGATGCACGTTCGAATTCTGGCATACAGCACTTTTATTTATTAAGTCCCTCGAATGCGCAGGCCGGTAGACGTAATTCCTATTGTAAAAAAAAAAAACAAAAAAAAAAACACCGTTTACACAAACATGAGTACCAACAAAATACTTTTCGCACAATAATAATAATAATAATAAATAATAATATATATATATATATATATATATATATATATATATATATATATATATATATATATATATATATATATATATATATATTCAAAAGGTTTTATTAAATTCTGCCGATAAGTTATGTACGTTTAAATTTTTACAATGAGTTCTTCATAATATCTGGGAAAGTTGAAAGTACTGAAACAAAAACAGTACAGAAGCGTAAACTTCGAGCAGTTTATGAACAATTTTGAATTATATTAACCCTGCTCAACAAGTCAAATGGACATGAAGTCTGCTTAACTAATGAGGACCAACCAACGCAAAATTTTCTTATTTTTTCTCCATTTCTCATTCTCTGATTAACAAAAGCGAAACATGTTAGATTGATAAACGCTTCCTTTTTGTTCTTTATCTTATCTTTCTGTGGGATTCTGATCCATATTAGATCCCAATTCACAAACACATCCCCCATATATATATATATATATATATATATATATATATATATATATATATATATATATGTATATAGTCATCCACAGACCAGTGTTTCGCTGTATCACAGCTCCTCAGTGTGTGTGTTCATATATATTTATATTCGACTCTTCCGTTGAATTCGACGTATAAGGGTCAAGCAGATGAGTTCCTAGGAACTGACCGCCAGACACCAGTACACGAGATCTGATTATAGTGGTGAGGTTTTTGGCCGAACCATACACACTTTTGGAAGGGCCAAATAAAGAGACCTGGTGGACTACGTGCCACAAGGTCCCGAAACGACTCTCAGCAGGTTTGGAATTCAGAGTTGTCTTTCTCCTAGACCAGTTGGCATCCAAGGCTAAAGAACCCAGTCTGTCCTGCTATTTACCCGTAACTGGAGCGAGTGGAGGAGGATTCATACCTTTCCCAGGGGTATAAGTATGTAAGTGAATCTAATGGATCTAATGGAATTCGAAATCGGCACTCCGGTTCCACAATTCAAGCCGATATATATATATATATATATATATATAAATTTTTGCAAATAAAACTTAAATTATTACCCGTTATTTCTTATGATGAACTCACTTTTAGCATCCAAAATATGACATTTCAAAGGACTACAATACCCGACATTAGTTTATTCGTTTTATTTAAAAGAGCTTTCTATTCTTGTTCCCAAATGCTTCAGCTAAAAGCCTTGCGAAAGATCGAGAGAGAGAGAGGATATATATATATATATATATATATATATATATATATATATATATATATATATATATATATATATATATATATATATATATATAAACGGAATATCGGAACAATTGAAAATATATTTGATATTTTTGGTAGAGATGCAATATCATAATATACCGACTCCAGTCTTCCGGGTATTTTCAATGGCTTCTTGTTCGCATGCGCGTATCCCCAAATTGCTTTCTTTATTGTCTAAGCTCTGGTAGCAACGGCAACGATGAACAGACGTGGGGAAATCAAATCCATTGTGCATTTTCTGTACTCATTCACAGCTTCCCGCATCATCTTCCGAAATACAAATTAACAACAGCCACATTAACATCCTAAGCAACAACTAGATACAAGTGTTTGTGTGTATGTGGGGGGTGGTATTTTGTTGTGAGGTTGTACAAATAGATAAAAAAAAAACAATTACAAATCTTTGAAAAAAAAACAACCAATAAACGAATCTATTAAACAGTGAAAAAAATAAATAAATAAATAAACAAAGTAAATGTGGAGATGTTAAGACAAGATGTTGTCTATAAAAAAGGAAGACTGTGTGAAGTGTTCTCGTCGAATGATAAAGAATAGGGATTGTAGTAGGTACAAGCTGATCAACTAAGAATGGATATTGCGAGGAAAATATATTTGGGTGTTGTTGATGTAGGCGGGCGAGTAGCTGTTGCTTGTGGAAGTGGACGGCAGAGAACCCGAAAAAGAATAGTACAAGTTTCTAAACGCTACAATGCAACATAGGAAAAGAATAGTTATAAAACTATATGACAAACATCGGGCACATATGAACGGGCTTAAATTTAGATTTTAGTACGAGGAGCAAAATAAACGGATACGCATAAATAATAATAATAATAATAATAATAATAAAATAGTTGTCAAAATACAAGGACCTTGAAGTAGAAATCTCGAAAATGTGGCATATGGGAACATCAACAATCCCTGTTATAGTTGGAGCCCTATGACTGGTTGGAAAAGATTGCAGTAGACTAATTGAAGGGATTCCTGGAAGTCCATGCCTCAAGGAGATAAAAAATTGTTCTGACAAAATACAGCTCACACTTTTTGAAGGGCTTTATCTATGTAATTTTTTTTTTTTTGTCAGTGGAAAGTGTCATGACGCCATTTCTAACCTTAGGTCCCTGGGCGGGACCCGGAAAGAAATGTGTAAACGCCAGAAATCAAAGAAAATAAAAATAAAAATAATAATAATTATAAACTATCAAAATACAAGGATCTTGAAGTGGAAATCTCAATATTGTGGCACATGAGGACAACAATAATTCCAGAGCTTTCGATAGAGTCATTGAAGGGATTACTGGTATTCCATGCCTTAAAGAAATACAAAAATTTGTAATCGCAAATCCAGCTCACATATTTCAAAGATCTTTGTCTATGTAAAATGTGCATGATCTTTTTTTTCTGACCTTAGGTCTCTGATTGGGACCCGGAAGGAAATATGTATACAACAGAAATCAAACTGAATAATAATAATAATAATCATAATAATAATAATAATAATAATAACGACAACAGGAACAAGAAAGTATAATTCATGCCAATAAAATATAAACACAGTTTATAATGTTAAGTATCATTCAACATCAGAATTTATACAAAGAGAATGCGTATATTTACTATAATCTCTAACCTTCCGTCCTGGGTATAACAATAAACTACATCCGCGTCCTGGGTAAGACGGTAAACTACGTCCAACAGCAAGGCCTCTGATCAGGAGGTTTTGAGGAGCGTAGAACCACCTCTTAATTGCTGGGTTTCCCAGGTGCATCCTGACACGGAGTGGTAGCACCTGTTAGGAACCCAACTATGGGTAAATAGTTAACCCTTAAACTGAAGCCAGAACACTATGAAAATGTAAATATAGGTTTTAATATCAGAAATACTTTGTAAAAATAAAAAATAAAAATTATTACCAGCAATGCATTTTTGAAAAAAAAAATGAATTTACCATCAATACATTTTTGGAAAGAAAAGCTATTGCCAGTAATACATTTTTGAAGAAAAAAATATTACCAGAAATAAAATTTTTGTCGGTAATTTAATACCGACAAAATTTTTTAACCCATTGAGTTTGTTATGCCGTAAAACAAAACAAACCAAATTCTGTAACCCAAAGTCATGGGTAAAATCACGGTAAAACAATTTACTACACAAAAAAAGATAATAATAATAATAATAATAATAATAATAATAATAATAATAAACTTGTTACCTTCTGCGGATATTAGGTTGTTATACATGTATCTTGGATAACCTTATCAGAATGGGTGTCATGGCTTCGTATAGTCGTACCTGAGAGTCAATCTATTGGCTTGCTTATCTCTCACTCAATACTACTAATAATGCTACTACTACTAATAATAATAACAATGATAATAATAGTGCCAGTAGTTATTGGAGCACCAGGAACAATTGATGTGCGTGCCAAGAAAAAAGTGGAAGATTTGAAAATTCGATCAGTTGGAACCATTCATAGATATGAATTAATAAAATAAGATACAAAGAGTACAAAAAAATAAATGAGACTTGTTATCACTTAATCTCAATTAGGAAGCCACCAGTTACCAGTGGCGTAGGTACAAAAGGAAAATAGACTGACAAAATGCTAACTTAGAATATGAGATACCAAAAACAGTTAATAATATATTTTTCAGAATTTATAAAGAAATTGGTATAATTTATTTACACTATGTTTTTTTAACAAAGGGCTGTTATTCTCTCTCCACGCGATACCATTGCGTAGAATAAAATGCATTGAATATATAGAAAGCTGTAAAAAGAAATCTATAAGTGGATATTAATTTTATATATGCCAATAATACTAAAGCTATATTATACATATTAATTCAAAATGTGTCATATTTAACGATATTTAATAGAAGGGAAACACACACATATATACGTATATGTATATATGTATAAATGTATATATATACATATATACGCAAAACAAAGTGAAAAACTTGGAAATACTGCTAAATTAATCTTTTCCTATAATATCATTAACGCTCTATTTTTACTCTATATTTTTTTACATTTTTTGATATTATTTTAATATTTTTTAATATTGGGCAATATATAAATATCTGCTGTTTCTTAAATCATATATATATATATATATATATATATATATATATATATATATATATATATATATATATATATGATTTAAGAAACAGCAGATATTAATATTATTATATTAACTATGAACAAAAGCCACAATGTGCTAACCGTATTCGGAAACTAAAAACATCACTACCACACACCGAACATACAGAACAACACTCTACTAAGCTGATAATTGAATCATCCTTGATAATGGCTAAAGGTATAGCCAAAGCGCTCGGAAACACAGAACATTCGGACAGTTCTTACACACTCTTTGTCCAGAAAAAGAAAGCTCTTGTCAGAACACAAAGAAAAATTAAATAAAAAGCTCAACCATAGTACCTTGTCTGTCGTTTTAATGAAAACATGCATAAAGGAAGGATTGCTGCCTAAATATATATATATATATATATATATATATATATATATATATATATATATAAAAATGTATACTATTATAAAATATAATATATTACATATATCATATAAAATATAATATAAAATGCATATAAATATAAATTATATTAAATAAAACGAATTGACAATCTATATAAATGTATTTTTCTTTTACGCAATCTATATAAATATATGAATTAAATATTTAAGCTTTTAAGCGCAGTAGAAATGATTTTCTCCTTGCAAAATACTTTTTGAAATTAATAAATAATTTTACTAAAAAACACTTAAAAAGTTCGGTTTAATCAGTCATAAGACTACATGTATCGGGAATTTAGTGATTTATGCATACGAAAATTTTATGATTACATCGGAAAAAAATCTTTCTATGCAATGCGTATATATATAAAGTATGCCTAATATATGTAAAAATACGCAATATAAATTGCATAAATTATCAAATTTTATATAATTATATAATACAAATCTATACATAGACATT